TATATATATGTATATATGTATGTGTAGGTATATGTATGTATGTATATGTATGTATATATGTATGTATATGTATATATGTATATGTATATATACATACATATTGGTTGTTGTGAATCGGTTGGTTGGCTGCTCCTCCCTGTGGTGAGACGTATTGAGTAATTTCCTGTTTGTCTGTTCGAGTGAATTGTTTGCTCGAGTCGTCTCTGTTTTCTGGATTTATCTGTCTTTTGCACAGTTTTTCATTCTAGTTCACAAACACGCTTAGTACAGTTGTTTTTCTACTGTTGGATAGTGCTTAAAACACCTCTTATCTTTCAACACTTCTCGGTTTTTATTGGTGTATTTGGCTATGCCAACTCCTGCTAGCGTTAGCTTAGCATGGCTGCTGCTTCTCTCCCTGCTTCCTCTGTTTTCTCTTGCTCCGTGTGTCAGATGTTTTGTTACTCTGCCTCCTTTTGTGGTAATGATACATGTAACAAATGTAGTCTTATGGTAGCTTTGGAGGAGAGGCTGTCTGAACTGGAAGCTCGGCTTCACGCTGTTGAAAAACCAGTAGCTAGCCAGGTCCCCTTAGACAGCGCGGAACCACAGAGGCTAGCTCCCGTTAGTGGTCCTCCAGCAGACCCCGAGCAGCCGGGACCCCAGGCCAGCTGGGTGACGGTCCGGAGCAAGCGTAGTGCTAAGGCTAAGCCCCCAGTTCACCACCGACCCGTTCACGTCTCTAATAGATTTTCCTCGCTCAGTGACACACCCGCTGAGAAGCAGACCCTGGTTATTGGAAGTTCCATAGTCCAAAATGTGGCTTTAGGGACTCCAGCGTCCATAGTCAAATGCATTCTGGGGGCCAGAGCGGGTGACATAGAATCTTATCTGAAACTGCTGACTAAGGCTAAGGTTAAATACGGTAAGATTGTTATTCACATCGGCGGTAATGACACCCGGTTACGCCAATCGAAGGTCACTAAAATTAATGTGGCTTCGGTGTGTGACTTTTTTAAAACCATGTGGGACTCCGTAGTTTTCTCCGGCCCCCTCCCCAACCTGACCAGCGATGACATGTTTAGCCGTAAGTCGTGGTTTAACCGCTGGGTGTCCAGGTGGTGTTCTGACAACGACGTGGGCTACATAGATAACTGGAGTTCTTTCTGGGGAAAACCTGGTCTGATGCGGAGAGATGGCATCTATCCCACTTTGGACAGAGCCGCTCTTCTTTCTAGAAATATGGCTGATTTTGTTTATGCCCCAAATTATTGACAACCCAGGGTCCAGTCCAGGAAGCAGAGTTGTAGTCCTCCACCTCTCTGCTGCTTCTCCTCTGTTACCCACCCACACCCACATTGAAACAGTGTCAACTCGCTCACGGCTCAAATTAAATAAACCAAAAATCAGCTCTAAAAATATAAACCATAAAAATCTGATTAAAATAAACACAGTTACTTTACCAGAGCAAAATCATAAACTCATTAAATGTGGATTATTGAACATCAGATCTCTTTCCTCTAAATCCCTGTTAGTTAATGAACTGATAACTGATCATCATATTGATTGATTGTGTCTGACAGAAACGTGGCTACAACAGGAGGATTTTGTTAGTATAAATGAATCCACTCCTGTTAATTATTTAAATTTTAATGTTCCTAGAACAACTGGCCGAGGTGGAGGAGTAGCTTCTATTTTTCAGTCAGGATTATTGATTAATGCCAAACCAGTTATTAGTTATGATTCTTTTGAATCACTGTCCCTCAGTCTTCCTCATCCAAAATGGAAATCAGAAAAGCCACTTTTACTAGTTGTTATATATCGTCCACCAGGAGCTTACTCTCAGTTTTTGTCTGATTTCTCAGAATTATTAACTGACTTATTATTAAATACTGATAAAACCATCATAATGGGTGATTTCAATATTAATGTGGATGTTGAGAGTGATAGTTTAAGCATAGCCTTTAATAATTTAATAGACTTATTTGGTTTTACCCAAAACGTCCGCACATCTACTCATTCTTATCATCACACTCTTGATTTATTTCTGACCTATGGTACAGAGATTAAGGACTTGGTAATAGTTCCTCAAAATCCTGTTCTGTCCGACCATTTTTTAATAACTTTGAGTTTACATTAAATGACTACACAGTCACTGAGAGTAAATTTCATCTCAGCAGGTGCTTATCAGAAAATGCTGTAACCAAATTGAAACAATCTCTTCCATCAATGTTTTCCTCTGTCTTGCAGAGTAATGCATCAGAGAACAGAGACTTAGATCATCTAGTTGATCATCTTACAACTTCAATGCAAACTTCACTTGATAAAATTGCTCCACTGAAAAAGAAAGTAATCAATCAGAGGAAACTGGCTCCTTGGTTCAATTCTGTTACGTACTTTAAAGTAGGGATGGGGCTGATCCGATCCAGTATCGGTATTGGCCTCCAATACCAGCATAATTTACGTATCGGATTTTCTGACCCTCCTGCCGATATTTCCGATCCATGATGCATGTTGGCTTCAAACTATGGAATGGATTTCCTGAACGGCGGCGTGTCTCATGAACCCAGAGTAATAAGACCCGCCTCACATTCAGGAAATCCACTTCATAGTTTGCAGCAGCTACAACGTGAGGACTGAGTTAGCAGCACTGTGGCTAACAGCTAACCAACTTTTCATCTAAACATGTCCGCTGTGTGGAAGTATTTTACACTAAACACCACAAAGCAAGACAGCAACGTGCACTGTCTGCAGAGCCATAGCGCCACATTAAACCGCGGTAAAGTTAGTTTTACGATGGACATTCGAGCTCCGTGGCTTCAGCGGGGCAGTACTCTTTGGTCAAACCGAAAGAGGAGACTCGACACCGGGCAGCCGCGTCCAATCTGCCCCGCTCAGTCTGCTCGTCTCTGAGGAGGGACAGACTCAGCGCGGCTGCCCCAAATCAGGCTGCCTGCTTCGGACTGAACAAGAAGAAAACATCGCTGAAACTACGGAGCTCAAATGTTTACAGAGAAGTTACTAAACTTCATAATTAATGACCAACCACTATCAGTTGTAGAAAACAAAGGATTTCACAGTTTGATACTTGCAGTCAAGATATAGTTTACCCTTCAGGAGATATTTATCAGTACAACAGTAGACAATCATAAAAAACATATGATTTGAAAATGATATATTTTAAAAACATAAACAGCTACATTATAAAGTGATGTAAAATACTAAAAACAGGAACATGTCTGTTGGTTTATGCCATGAACTTAGCAGATGTTTGAAGCCATTTAACATTTAAATGAAACAAAATAAATAAAAAAAAAACATCAAAAAGAAAACATTGAATAAAAAGAGTGCAGAAAGAAGAAAAAAATTCTTATATCTGCCCCTTATTTAAATAAAAATAACTAAACAATCACTTAAATTAATCACTTTAATATCCATTTTAAAGCTAGGAATAAAAAGAAACATGTTTTGTGTTAGCAGAATTTAATTCTAACTTTAAAACTTATCCAACATTAATAAAACTTACCTCAAGTTGCCTTTTTGGACATGCATGTATATATTTGTACAAATTGTACTTGCGAGGAGATTATTACAGCCTCATATAAAATCAATGATGATCATGATATCGGAACTGGATCGGTATCGGCCGATACTCAGAGTTAGGTATCGGGATCGGATCGGAAGTAAAAAAAAAGTGGATCAATGCATCCCTACTTTAAAGCAGGCATCTAGAAACCAGGAGAGAAAATGGCGCTCTACTAATGTTGAAGAGCTTTATTTAACTTGGAAAGATAGTCTGCTAACATATAAAAAAGCTCTCCGTTAAGCTAGAACTTTATATTACTCATCTTTAATAGAGGAGAATAAAAATAACCCCTGGTTTCTGTTTAGTACTATTGCTAGACTAATTAAAAGTCCCATTTCTGTTGAACCATGTATCCCTACAACTATAAGTAGTGATGACTTCATGAGATTCTTTATAAATAAAATTATTTCAATTAGAGAGAAAATTCAAACCATCCTTCCTTCTACTATCTCTGGTCCCCTGTCAAATGAGACAACTTTAAAAATTTCACAAGAGCCTGATTTATGTTTGGACAGTTTTTGTCCTGTTGAGCTCTGAATTGTCAAAAATAATAACCTCATCCAAACCATCCACATGCCTGCTAGATCTCATCCCAACCAGACTGTTTAAAGAGGTATTCCCATAATTAATGTCCACATTTTGGATCTACTTAACTTGTCTTTAATGAATGGTTATGTACCACAGCACTTTAAAGTTACTGTAATTAAACCTTTACTTAAGAAGTCTGATCTTGATTCAGAAATTCTGGCCAACTATAGATCTATATCTAATCTAACTTTCATCTCAAAAATTCTAGAGAAAATAGTTGCAGGTCAGTTGCGTGAACATCTACAAAGAAATAATCTGTTTGAAGAGTTTCAGTCAGGGTTTAGAGCTTATCATAGCACAGAAACAGCTCTAGTAAAAGTAACTAATGATATTCTCATGGCCTCAGAC